CATCAACATTACCAACACAAAACAACTACACGCAAACACATATTCTTGAAGATAACTGATGTAAATAATCTATTCATTCATAGCAAACAAGAAAACAAAAAAATAAAATAAAATAGAAAACCAAATATTAGAGCATAAATTTACTAATCAAATCGATTTGCTCCATCCTTATAAAAAAAAAAAAAAATTAGTTCTGTTCGAGCTAAAAAAAATATTTTCATTATTAAACTAAAAAAATTCTATTTCATATCAAATGACACTTTCAACAATTAGAAAAAAAGTACACTTCTGTTTCTTGACAACTTTTTTTTCAGCATAATACATTTAAAACTTTGCCAAAGCCTTCCTTCAAACATCACTCCAATTAATTTCAGCCACAATTGGCTGTGAACACATTTCTGTTATCTGTTTGGCTTAACACTAAACGCGGCGGTCATTCTGTACGTAATCAAATATTAATAGAATCAGATAGGAAAAAATTGGAAAAAAAAAAATTCATGATAACTGCTACTAAAAAATAGCAAAAAAAAAAAAAAAAGAATTCTTTAAGCAACCTTTGTTTAGTTTACAAATCCCTTTTTCCCGTTTCCTTTTTTTTTTTTTTTTTCTTTTTTCTTCCTTCTATAAACATTTTGAACTTTTCGCACAATGTAAATACAACCCAACTAATCTAAGGCATTTTCTCGGCCATACCTTCTTTGTTTATTCTTTTCAATTCTACTCTAATCACAAGATAATCATTTAAAAAATTGAAAAATTTTTTTCCTTTCAACTATTGCATAATATCAGCAGTTGTTTCATTCAATGAGAATGTCATTTAATACAATGAAAAAAAAAAACTTAATTCGCAAAAATTATTTCCGTAACCAACATATATACTTATATGTATACGTAACTTTCTTCTGTTCAACATTACACTTCGACAATTGTTCAGAATTTTCAACACTGCTAAAGCGTTCCGAGGAACATCAATGCAGACATTACTTTTGCAGTTGAGTGTACGGAGGTGGGACAAGCTGTCAAAGTTCCGTCATCAAAATAACACCCACAATATTTCATGCTAGTTTAGAACATTCTCTCTTAGACAATTCTAATTTTTTTTTTTTTT